TTACTATTTTGCTTCTCATACATCTATTTAAAAACATTGATTAATTGATAATAATATTTCAATGTGAATTATTTTATATTTTAATAATTCATAACCCATAAAAAAAAACACCAAAAGAATTTGATCACCCGTGAATATAAATAAAATAAGATTGGAAAATCGATGAAAGCCACTATCAAACATGAGTTTTATTAACCAGTCCCACGACAACAAGTGCTTCTCTGAAGATGGTATCTTCAGTGTTCGCATATATTGGACGCCGATCCAAATATGTTAGAAGAATGGACGCTGATCCAAATATTGTGCTAAGAATTAGAAGAATGGACGCCGATCCAAATATATTAGAAGAATGGATGCCGATCCAAGTATTGCGCTAAGAATGGTGGAATTGGAGGCAACGACATGGGCGAAAGCTCAATATGAGGAATCTTCCCAATCTTCGTTGAATTTGGAGCCCTTACCACCTCCAAATATCTGAATTTTTCGGACATTAGAATTAAGATATAAATTAAACTTTAATGGTTTGAGATCCATGTTCAAATATTTCAAAATATTTTTGTAATTAAACGGGTTACTCATTAAAACTTAAATTTTGATATTAATATTTTTTTAATGAATTTACTCGCATAACGCACATCCTATTCTAGTTTTTTAATAAATTTTAAAGGTGCGGATAGTCGAAGAAACTGGAAAGCCTTTGCGGAAGCGGGTGTATTGCCTAATAAAAATGATTACATAGATCAAAAAAGTGTTGTAGCTTTTGACTAGTTAGATGTCTTTCTATATCCTTGCGAATTTTTCTTTTTTTTTGGGCGGCCAATTTTTCTATTAGATAAATGATTTGTTTCTCTGTCTCAACAAATGTATATTATATGCCTCTTTGTTTCAAGCTATAATTTTTCAATTTCAAGACATGTTTTATTTCTCATATGTAGTATTTTGATGCACATGAACTAACTTCTATTCTATCATAGTCTTCTGGTACAATAGCAGTTAGTTCTGATAAAAAAAGAAAGTGATAAAAAAATCAAAATTGTAATCGAAAATCAAAACTAAACTTTTTGTTGAAACATGGATTCATGAAGGGAGTTGCTTTGTGGTCCATTGGTCAGAGGAGGAGGCAGAGGAGGGCGATGTTAGTTCCAACGCTTCAAAGTTATATAAAAAATCTACACTTGCTATGAAAGTGAAAAAAAATCAAAACTTGATATGAAAATGATAAAAAAATTATGATTTTGTAATAAAAAATCAAGACTAAACTTTTTGTTGAATCTTTTTTATTAAGGGAGTTGTTATGTGGTCCAGTGGTCGTCGGAGGCGGAGGTCCGGTAGTGAGATTTGCTCAAATTCTTTTTTTTGGGTCAAATTTTGTTCAAAGTCTTCAAAAACTCATAAAAATCAAAACTTTTTGATGACAAATGGAGTCTGAGGTCACTGCAGGTTTGTTCGAAGTCTTCAAAAACTCATAAAAATAAAAACTTTTTAATGACAAATGTAAACAAAAATCAAAACTAAACTTTCTTATGAAGGGAGCTGATTTGTGGTTCTCTGGTCAGACGCGGAGACACCGTCATCTCTCTTACACCACAAGGTAAATTGTAAATCGAGTTTGGTTTTACAACTTTTGATGAAGAGAAGCTTAATGCGATCTTGTGGTTTTACAATAAGTAAAGATTTGAGTTTGGTTATACAACAAGTAGAGGTTTCTCAATTGAATTTGGTTTTACAACCTTTTATGAAGATAAGCTTGATGCGTTCTTGTCGTTATACAATCAACTGTGTACGAATAAAAAAAGTTATATGGCTGATTTTTTGTGTCTTTATCTTTTCACAGAGCTTCTGACGACGCTGTTAAACTCAAATTAATTGAAGAAGAGTGAAAATTCTTGCCGATGAGACTAGGAGGAAGTTCTCAAAGAGATCCTCGAGAAGAACGCTAAGGTTTCTACCTTGCTCGCCATGGACTTGATGGAAGAATGGATCGCGAATTGTTCAAGAAAATGATACATGTTGTAGATTACACAGAGATCCAGGCCCAGATGGAGAGAATAGCAAAGGGAGAGGAATCAAACATACTATGCTCTGACCAAATCACATTTCTCACAAGATTAACCTCTAATACATTACCTTAGAGTCTTTGAAATTATTTTAGAAACTGTCTAGTCTTTTGATCTTTGGAAACTGTCTCTGAAACTGTTTTGGGGGCCGCTTGGCAAGCATCTTTCAAGTCTTTAACTGTAGACTTTTGCTTTAAACTTTTGGGTGCAGAGATTTTAGCTATAAACTGTGACTGTTATTTTAATAATTATTTAGAAATATCTTTGTCGTGAAAAATATAAATTATGACATAAATCTAATAGACAAAAATCTAAAATAAATAAATTTCATTTATTTTGATTATTTTATGTTTTGGATTTCATAAATAAAGTTCACCAAGAAGTGGAATAAACTATAAAACATTTGAATTAAACACTCTAACTTCTGAATCCTTTCTATAAATGCAGTATTGCCTCTTCAAATACTCTAAGGGGCCCTTATTCATTGATGGATTCCTGTAGATTTTATGGATTTTGAAAGTTGTGAGATTTTATAAGATTTTGTGGATTGTTTTTGATTTTATAAAATATTCTTGTGGATTGTTATTGATTGATATGAATTTGTATTAACTTTCTTTCTTGAGAAATTTCAAAAAATGCTACTTTACAAAAATGCCACACTTTTAAAATTTTTACAAAAATACCACTTTTTCAAAATTATTTTTTCTATATATAATTTATGTTTGGGTTAATTATGTTCTATTAGGGTTTAGTTTTGAGTGTTTAGGGGGTTTTAAGTGTCAAAATATTTTTTAGGGTTTAGAATTTTAAGATATAGGCTTTATAAATGTATAATTAGT